AAGGTCCCTGCCCGTCACCATCGAGATGCTGAAAGTGTGAGTACCGCCTGCGCACGCGTGCGGCAGTGCCGCGGGTCGCCCCGCGCTCTGACGCGCTGGTGTCCTGCTCCCTGCTGCTGCGAGGCCGCGGGGTCTTCGGGCAGGGCTGGTTTCCTGGCGGGTTTTCTGCAACGGCCTGGAAACCGTTTTGCCTGTTGGCTGAATCTCTGTTTCAGCCTCGGGGGGCCAGTGCGTCTTCCCCAGGAAATGAACCCTGGTTCTGGGATTTTACTGCTCACGAAGGGAAATGGGTTCCAGACTACAAACACAGGCTGATGCCAGGAATCCAGGCCTGGCCTGTCTTTAATTCCACCAAGACAAAATAAGGTCCTGGATTTCATCCATTTGTGGCCTTCCTTGGCCTTTCATTTTGCAGAGCACAAGTGGGGAAAGGGGCTGTCTTGTATTACAACAGAGTTGAACGTGCAAGTCCCAAAGTAGGGGGGTGAAAGGGCTGTTTGGTTCTGCGAAGAACCACGTTTCTCTGCCAGAGCTCCCTGCGCTTTGGAGAGAGGGGACGGTGCAGGATCGCGGGGCAGCTCTTGCATCTCTGGTTCCTGGGCTACCCCCAGACTTGCCTTCTGCGGGCTGAGGAGAGCTGACAAGGGGTTGAGCTCAGGGGCATTCCCCAGCCCCTGTGGCGTGTGTTAAGAGATGTAAGAGTGTGCTTCTCATTAGTCCAGACGATGAGGAAGAGGAAGAAGATGACCAGGAAGAGGAGCAGAATTCGGGCCCTCGTGTGTATATTGGAGACGTGCCTTCTGTCACGGTCATCCCAAAACTGGTACCCCAGGTCCTGCCGGAGGAGCAGGAAGGGGATGAAGGGATGAGCGACTCGGACTCGGAGGGGCCCATCCTGTACAAAGATGACGAGGATGAAGAAGATGATGAAAGCCATAACAGTAAGGCTTTGACATTGCAGCTGGCTTTTTTTTTTTCCCCTCTGCTGAACTCGTGCCTGGCTGTATTGAGATCTGGATCAAAGAGCTGGTTCACACAGCGCTTCAAAGCAGCTGGCTCTGGGTTTCATGATGTACCACATGTCCTCTTCCTCACTGTACAGAGGCTCTGCAGCCAAGCCTGCATGCTCATCTGCTCAGAAGCACCCCCTCCAGTTGCAGATGGCTCCTGCAACAGCTCGAGCTGTCCCAGCCCTTCAGGTGGGACAGCATTAGGTGGATGTGTGGGCGTCACACAGAAATGCTGGCTGTCGCTGGAGCAGCGACGAGCTCTGGCCAGCTTGGGAAGCGAGCCTCGGGAGAGAGCACAACTGCCAGGGGCACGTGGCTTAGACCGCTGTGCTCGGGCACCGCAGTCTTCAGTCGCATCCCGTTGCTCTTCCTCCCCGCAGGCACGCTGGCTAACAAAGTGAAGAGGAAAGACACACTAGCTATAAAGCTGGGGAACACAACCACGCCGCAGGAGGAGAAGATCGTCTTCCCTAGGAAGAGCAAGGAGGAGTGGAACGAAATTCGGCATCAGATTGGGACGACGCTGATCAGGTATGGAGGGGGTCTGAGCCGTCGGCACAGCGAGAGGGGTGGGATTGGGCAAAGCTGTTGCCTGGTCCGAGCAGCCTGTGCTGGGATGTGACGGGGCGGTTGGGCACTGCTGCTGAATCGGGGCCGGGAGGCAAAGTGTTGCTTTTCCTCTCAGGTTATAAAAGTGGGAAGTTGTTCCTGGAGTTCAGCAATACCCCCCTGACAGGTCCGTTTCCAGATATTAAGTGGGTTCCAAGGGAAGGTCTCAAGGACTACAGAAACTGCTGTAGTCCGCTGCTGCCCTAAAATACGGATGGTGTAAAAAGGCGTGGATAGATGCAGGCTGAGTGCTGGTTTAGGTAGTGGATGAAGCTGGGGATGCTGATAGTCCAGGCTCTGCTCTCGCCTCGAGTTCCCCCCAGAGCTGGCTCTGAGCTTTTGAGAGGCCGTAGCGCTCTCCAAGCCCATGTCTGTGGGTGAGCAGCTGTTGGGAGTGGAGGAAAGCGGAAATGGGGGCGGCAGTGATCTCCACTGGTGAGCGAGAGGCGCTGGGGCTTTCCGCTGAAACCAAGCACTTGCGTTCCACCTCCCCTGCCGATGAGTGACCAGATAACACATTACACGCTTGTCACGCTTTTCTTTAGGCGACTGAGTCAGAGACCCACAGCAGAAGAACTGGAGCAGAGGAACATCCTCCAACGTGAGTAATGCTTCTCTAGCGGGTCCCGAGTGATAAAATAAGTTCACCTTTAACATCTTAGTCCAGGTGTGCCTGGAATCTGCTTGAAAAGCAGCGATGGAGAACTCTCCTTTGGTTACATCGCCGTGGTAAAGCAGCTCCACGGTTTTTTCCCAGTGCTTTGTTACCACAGAAACCGGCTGTGGATAAATCCAGACCTTAGTGGTACCTAGGGATGCAGCTCAAAGCATCACGTTAGAGAGAGGCTACCTGTGCCCTGCGGGCCACCTCAGGGGAATGTCTGTGAACTGGTTAAGGCTGGTGTTACGCAGCGAGGACCGTTCAAGGCGGTTTTGTCTGGGCTGGACTTGCGAGGCCCAGACATTACAGCATTGTAGTGCACGATCCCAAAAGCAGCAGCTCCTGATGTTTCTCTTGGCCACACCTTGCTCTGCAAAAGGTTTTCAATAAACATCTTGGGGAAAGGGAAATGTCAGCTCAGGAAGTTTCCGTTTTTAAAATGTTTATCTGCACTGTTACTCTCTGACCGACTGGTGTGACAGCTTTAGGGAGGAGCGATCCGCAGGGGGCTGGGTTGTATTTTGCCAGCATGGCCATTAATCTTTAACGTACCCGGGGCCGGAGGGGGGGGCTTGCTCGAGCCGCGTGACGGCCCGCGGTGCCGCTGTGGGTCAGGGGGTGGGCGCTTTGTGAGCTGGACTGCGCCCTCAGCCCGCGGTAAGTGCAGCCACGCTGAGCTTTGCGGGTAGTTTGATACCACTCGTTACGCTCCTTTGTTCAAGCCCAGAAAGCGCTTTCCAAAACCTGCAATGCTTACAGCAAAAAAAAAATGGTTTGTGTTTTTTTTTCTCTTCTCTTGGCAGCGAAAAATGAAGCTGACCGTCAAGCTGAGAAGCGAGAGATCAAACGCAGGCTCACCAGAAAGGTACTGCTGGCCCCTGTGCTGCGACGGCCATCTGGCAGAGCGGTCGGGGGGGCGGTGGCTATGAGCGCATCGTAGGTACCTGGCTGGGGGTGAAGTCACGGGGCTGTTGTGTAAGTGTCCCCGGTGCCCTCTGACTGCAGCGACTTTGGAACGGGGACTGTCACCGAGGGTGAGCCGTTGGCACTGCAGCTGCATTTGTCAGTGACAGAGCTGAGCTGGCGTCAAGCGTGACGGGCTGGATGAGAGCTAAATCTGGCACTTGAAAGGTTTGCTGGTGCTGGCCTGGCTGTTTCCAGATCACTTCAGCGGCCATGACGCTCACAGCAGGCTCCCCAAAATCCGTTTCCAGTACGAGCAGTGTGGGAGAAGCTGGGCGGAACAACAGCTGCTTCTAGCTGTTATGTCCTAGTGCTTGTGTGGTTGGTACTCACGGCTGGGGAAAAGGAACTTCCCAAGGGCCTGTGGGTGTGAAATGGGGGTGTTGCCGAGCTGAAGCGTGGGTTGGGGTGTCACACAGGACCCATCCTTGCAGCGGCTGTTCCCAAACACCTCGGTGTCTGTCGCCTTGGTTCTGCCGTAGCCTGGCCTCCTGATCCAAGAGATTACCCTGTCCTGCGAGCAGGACCTGGTGGTGTCTGTGGTTTAGGCCGGAGAGGGAACTGGGTTTAGTTTTGCCTGGGATGCTTAGTCCTGAAATGCTCTGTGGACAAGGCACAAGCTGACCTTCTTTGTTCCTGCTGGTGTTCAGCTTAGCCAAAGGCCTACAGTGGCCGAGCTGCAGGCCAGGAAGATCCTGAGGTTTAACGAATACGTGGAAGTAACAGATGCTCAGGACTACGACCGGCGAGCGGATAAACCATGGACAAAGCTAACGCCAGCTGACAAGGTAGTGGGGAGCGTCCCGGCCCCAGGCGTGGGGGATCCCGGTGTCCCATGCACAAGGGTGTGAGCCAAGGAGATGTGCTCTGCTCCTTTTGCTTCATCCCTTCATCTTTCCCCCCGCTGCCCCACCAGTGTCCCTTCATCCCTGTGTGCTGTACCCAGCCCCACTTCTTGCCCCCTCCATGGTGACGTGGAGCCCAAATGGGCACGGTCTGCACGCCAGCATGGCCTCTGCCTCGGCTTCTGAGTGGCATACGAGGGCGCAGGGTACCGGGCGTTGGTCAGAGGAGTGCAGGTCCTCGCAGGCTGGGGCAGGCCTAGGCGAGAAGCTGGCAGGGAAGCCATCTGCTCAGCCTAGTGTGAATGGGCTGTGAAATCTGGGGTGGCGGCTGCAATCCGAGCTCCTTCCCTTCCCAAAGGAGCTGTGGGACAGCCCTGCTCTTAGCACTTCACCGCTGAAAGGTGGTAGAGATTAGCCTGGGGCGGGGGTGTTGGAGCTGCAGCACCTTCCTGCCACGCCTGAGCTCACTGGAGATGGGAGAGAGGGTGACATATGCACGCCTTAGCAGGAGATAACAAAAGATCTCTCGATCTCTCACCCATTTGCGTAGGCTGCCATCCGGAAGGAGCTGAATGAGTTTAAGAGCTGTGAAATGGAAGTCCATGAGGACAGCAAGCAGTTCACGAGGTGAGCAAGGGCGTGTCTTAGGGTTTCAGTCTTGCTGGGAGAGCCGCGCTGCAGGGGTAGTGCTGAGAGGCCAACCACCGAAACCTTAGAAAGATGACGGGTACAGCGGTGGGAGATGTACCGTCCCTTTCTGCCTTGGTGGTGGTGGGTGACTGGAGGAGTAGCAGACATGAAGTGGGTTGTTCTTCCTTAAAACTGGGGCTTCAATCCTTGGAAACTCACGGTGACCAGAGACTGGTTTGGGGTGTATGTGAAACCAGCGTGACCGTGCTTTTCTGGGGCTTAGAGACACGTGCAGCAGCGGCCACGGCTGCAAAACGCCCTGGTAGCTTGGTTATTATCTGTAGGAACCTGTGGATCATGGCCCAAGAGATTCCTTTCCCCCTCCACCAGTTGCTCATCTGTAGGGCCTCGGTAACCTGAGTTCCAAGGATTTTCACTTGGCTTTTAGGTACCATCGACCATAATCTTCCAAGAAGGGAGCAAGAGACCCGAGAGGACTGGAAGTTCTCTGCGTCCCTCCTAGGCAATACAGCGAGGGTGGAACCTCGGCTCTTCCAAGATTTGCCTTCAGAACATATCCAGAAAAGGGCTTTCGGCCAGGGAAAGGGGAATCCTGTCTGAATGTAGCATTTCACTGGAACAAACCCGTCTCGAGTGCCATCAGGCTGGAACCGAACACTATACCTCGCGCGGCTGAGCGATACGCCTCTGCTCCGGCCCCAGCATCCCTGCCGGGAGCACGTGTGAGCGAACCCCAGCTCCCCGCCTGAGCCCCGACAGGCCCAGTTCTCAGCTGTACATACTCCTTTTGGGGGTGCAACTCCTTCCTTTCCTCCTCCTCACCGAAAGGGGGAGGGAAAACAGGCAGCTGGAGTGTTGGAAAGCTGAGGAAGGGCGAGTGGATGTGCTAGGAAGCACGTGTGTATATTAGCTGTGTACAGAGAGCAGATGCTGACCTTGGCAGACAACCAACGTGTGACTCGTCATTTTTTTTTTTTGGTTTCGCTTGCGTCTGTCGTGTCCTGAATCACTACTGACCAACGGTTTGTTGTCCTGGAAGGGAATTGTATAGGTATTAACATATGCTGCATCTTTTTGTATAAAAGAGAAAACAACAAACATGTCTAAAGCATTCCCTCCCCACTCTCACACCTGCTGCGACGTTAACGGATCTGAGATACCTAGGCTTGTTTAACACATTACAGAACCAGGAAATGACTGTTGCCTTTTAAAAACTGTGGAATCTGGGGAAGCTGTGGGAGTAGTCAGTTCTTTTTTTTTTATGGCTGCCTCTCAGATGTTTTTTATTAGCCCAAATCTGGGTGAAACTTGCCTTTTCTCATTTTTACAGCTGGAAACTTGATAATTTCCCTGTGTGGGTGGAAGGGAGGGGAAGAAGAGGTTTTAAAAGTGACCTTAAAAAGATAATCTTTCTCTTCTGAGAATGATCTCATATTGGTTGTTCTTAAATGTGGGTTTTTAAAAAGAAATCCGGTATGGGCCACCGCTGTATCGTGCACAAAACCCTCCCGTGTGAGATGCCACCTCACGTGAAGAAGGGAGTACGGCAGGACGAGGAGGCTGTGGGAGTGGAGAGAAGGACTCGCCTTGCTCACAAACGCTGTTGCCCGTGGCGGGCCTGGCCATGCTGTTGCCTGTGGTGGGCCTGGCCCTGCTGTTGCCTGTGGTCGGCCTGGCCGTGCTGTCCGTGGT